TCTTTGAGCTGAAAAAAATAAAAAAGTACAGCACTGTTATTCATCATTTTTTTTTAAAAAAAATGTTATCTTATATTATTTCTAACTTCTATAGGGTGTGCAATTCAATTAATCAAGATCTTTTTTTTTTTATCAAGTAGGAAGAAAACATCCAAATAACTAGACACCACAAGGATACATTGGGAATCTGGACTCCAAGAGCATGTTAAAGAGAGAGAATCTGGACTCCATAAACGCATGGGAGAGTTGAAGAGAGAGATTGGTCAAGAAATCAACCGATTTGATTTGCCCAGGAACGCATGGGAGAGTTGGACATCAAGAAACCTCACCAATTCCTTTTGGTAGACTTCAATCAACTAACTTAGTGAACAAATTATTGATCAAAAAATTGGGAAATAAATTTTATATATTTAAAAACTATAGATAGATCATCTAACTATATAATAAAACATAATTAAATCATCGAGTTAAAAGAATCTTTGATTGAACTCGTATTCTCTTAAACTTGTAAAAATTATGCAATTAATCTATTTGATATATAATAGCATGTTAACTCCAGTCACATGTCACTAAGATGTCATGTAAATTAATGTTTTTTAAAAATTAAAATAAGTATATTTAAAAAAAATAGCAAGAACAACCTACCAACTGCCATGACAATTGTGAATTGTCCATGGCAACCAAGTTGTCATGGTTTCTTCATCCATGTCAGTTTGGACAGAGATTAGTCTATATCGACATGGACGAAGAAGCTTTGCAGGCTTCTCTGTCATATCATATGAAGAAACTTTCAAAATTGGACAGAAAAGTCGTCAGTTTCTTAGCTCAAATTAGACGGAGAAGTCTTCGATTTCTTCGTCCAGATCGAAGAAACAAGTCAACAGGTTTCTCGGTCACGATCTTTTTTTTTTTTTTTTTTTAATCAGATGCCACATTAGATATGTCATGCAAGCAAAATTAACTAGTTACCTTTTGATAACCTATTAAATATGTTAATAACACACTTTTAACCAGTTTAAGTGTTCAAATGAAGGCTTTTTTTTTTTTAAAGAGTTAATTCCATTTTTTGTTCTAGATTTATAGGTGACGGTCCACTTTTAATCCTTTTTTTTTTTTCAGAACATCCACTTTTTGTCTTAGTATTATTGTTGCATGACCATTTTTGGTCCTCTATCAACAAAACAATTTAAATTTCGTTAAATTTAAGTGCATTTCAGTCTTCAATTATGAATTTTTTCAAAAAAAATAAACATAAAAAATATAACAGGTCAACCTGTTTTCTATAAAAAAGATCGAAATGTGTTTGTATTTAACGACATTTCCACGATTTTATTGATGGAGGACTAAAAATGGTCATGCCATAATAATACTAGGACCAAATGAGAATGTTATGCTAAAAAGTGACTAAAAGTAAACTGTCACCTATAAATATAAGACTAAAAATAGAATTACTATTTTTTAAAAATTCAATAGTCTAATTGCATTTTGGTAGAGTTAATACCCAAAATCGTCCTCGACTATAGTGGTTTTTCTCAATTTCGTCCTAAACGACTTTGGTGACCTAATATCGTCCCAGACTTTTGTGTTTCGCTCAATTTCGTCCTCCATTTGTTATTCCGTCAAATTGGTGTTAAATAAAGGGACAATTTAGTAATGTTAATATTGATCTCTCTTTACTTTCAACTTGTGAAGTGCGAAATTCCTCTTTCTTGTATGAATTACACCCAGAATTACTCCCGGACCTGCAAATCAAATTTTATATTCGCAGCTTTAGGAGTAATTCTGGGAGTAATTCGTAAAAAAAAAAAAAGGATTTCGCAGTTCACATGTCTATGAGTAAAGAGATGCCAATATTAAAATTACTTAATTGTCTATTTATTTAACACCAAATGGACAGAATAACAAATGATGGACTAAATTGAGCAAAAGCACAAAAGTCTGAGACTAAATTGCGCGAAACACAAAAGTCTGGGACGATATTAGGTCACCAAAGTCGTTTAGGACGAAATTGAGAAAAAACACTATAGTCGAGGACGATTTTGGGTATTAACTCCATTTTGGTATATAGTTGGAGGTGATCCCTATTCTAAAACTATATTAAATATAAAATTTAAATTTAAAAATTATAAGAAAATAATAAAATTTTCATGTTATCTTTAAATAGTAAACATAGATATGCATGCTAGTTGTTACATTTTTAGAGGTGTCTACAATTCAGCGATAGGATTAGTCATTGCGTCCGATAGTGTAAATTCTAGATTACCAAGTCAGGAGCGAATTTGAATATTTAGCAGAAGAGGATAGCAAATTAGCAATAGTTATGAGGTGGACCTGCGTCCAAAACAGCGTCGTTTTGCTTCAAAATGATGTCGTATGGATTAAAAAAAAAAATTGCTTCCTTCCTTGCAGTTAACTTTCCGTTTGTCTTCCGAATTTGTTTCTCTATATACATAATTTTTTAACTCTATATTCACAATTTTAGAACTCAATATACAAAATTACAGAACTCAATATACAAAATTACAGAACTCAATAGGGAAAAAATACAAATAGACCATTGAACTATTTGGGAGATAGCAAATTAGCAATTAAGCCATCAAATTTGAATAAGCATTTTTTCAGTTTTGAATCGTAATAAGAACCGTCCCTACTGTTTAAGTTCGATTGCTATAGTGTCTGATTCGATTCAAATCGTGGTCATCCAACATATAAGTAATAATTTGTTAGAGAACAAAAATAAATGAAATAATTATTTTAATAGTACAAATGTCCATTTAACATCAAAGGGGGAAAACTACCACTTTAAAAATAATTGAAGTGACAAATGTGAATACGTGAATAACTAAGGGGGGAAAAGTGCTATAAGCTTATAATTCACGGGTAAAAGTGTCATTTTTCCCAACATCTATTAAAATTTTACTTAGCACATGAATATTTTTATCTGTTAAAATGCAATTATCTTTGTTCTTCATAACATTGTCAATTTTGGTATTTCATCTGTAAAATAGAAAATCGGCAACTTTCTTCCCTAAATTTCTTCAAGATGAGCCATATATTTGTGTTACTTGTCATTGGATAGATTATAATTGTATACTTGAAGAGTTGTCCAAGTATCACTAGTTAAAGCAACACAACCATTAAAATTTGCAAAATAATTAACTAACATAACTTTTGACATATGAAAATTTTTATAGATCAGATATCACGTTTTAAAGTATTTCTGAGTACTTTTTCATATTGTGGTTGTAAAGATTTTTTAACGAATCTTTCAAAACGAGTCCTTTCGGATTGACTAAAAGGTAATTCATCACCAGGCCAATTATAAATTTACCAAATTCTTCAATCATTGATTCTTGTGAATAAGTAAAAATATCTCCGCTAGGGGTAGCATACTCGGAAATTTGCATTTGTCCTCTCTCGAGTTATCCTTCGTTATTCCTCATATTGTGACAAGAATTCAAGTGCCGACTAAGAGTTTCGGTGCCACTAGTTCCGGATTGCCAAGAAAATGGTTTTTAACTCTTCATATTTGTACATATTTTACAATTTACTAAATACAGATTGCAGAATCTTTCAATGGGTATTTTTTCAAAGTGTTGCCAAACCCATGGTGTTGGTTTCCTCCCCCCATCCGTTAGAGGAATAGGAGGAAAATTGACATCACCTATTGATTTTTGAGTAGAAAAAAAAATTGACGTTGATCAATTTCTTGTGAATCTTCTCCTACATTAGAAAAATCAATTGGCTTCTTGTCGGGATTGTCACTATAAGCCATATGAGAATAGGAGTATAAGAATTAAAAATATAGGATTGTAAGGAATTAATAAAAATATATAAAGAGTAATAAAATTTGTAAAGAGTAAGAAAATGTATAGAGAATTGTTTTGAGTAAGAGTAAGAGAGTGTTTGATTGAGAATTTTTGTTGATAAAAATGAATTGGGTAAAGGGTAATTATAGAGTAGATATGAATTTTAAAAATAAATAAATAAATAAATTCGGCCAGTGGCCAGTGCAACAGCCAGAAGTAGCCTCTGCTAGAGGTCAGGCCTAGCCTAGCCTCCGGCAGAGGCTAGTTGCAAGTCTTGCAACGTGCAGCAGCCAAATTAATTTGGTCGTTGCACGTTGCAAATTTGCAGGCCTAAGGGCTAAGGCCTTAAGGCCAGTTGCCACATTGCCACATTATGGCAGCTGGTCAAAATTATTAGGCTAACCTTATCCCTACAAATCTCTTCAACTTTCTATAATGGGTCCCACTTCCGCATCACTCAATTTACAAATCATTTACTATTCACACTACATCTTTACAATATTCTCTCACTTTCTAAAGTGGTCTCACTTTCATATTATATTATTATATTATAAATATAATAATATAATAAATAACTAATAAGAAATTATAAAATAAATAAAATAAAATAAAATAAAAAGGTACACAAAGGCTGCCGTTACAAGCTTTCTATCCAACATGACAAAAAAAAATTAAAATAAAATAACTTTTAAAAATTCACATCATTTAGAAAGGGGGTGCTGGTTGGGATGGGGTTAGCCTTACGAAGTATGTATATATATATATATATATATATATATATATATATATATATATATATATATATATATAATATTATATTGAAAGTTGCCATGTTTTGCTGCCATAGCTACAATTACCTAGCTCGGGTTTAGACCGGTTAGGGGCTTGGGCCGTGCTTGAGTCTAGACCTAGATCGATTCTCGAGAATTTTTTTAAAGACTTGAACTGATCTTTAACAAGTCAATTTCAGTCAGATAGTGAAGTATACTTTTTTCAAACTAATTCAGGATTGGTTAGACCTTGAACCTGTCCGGCCACCCCTAAGTGCAGTCCACAGAGTGAAAAGACTTCAGCCTCCAAAAACAGTAAATCATTTTGTGCAGAGAGGACTTTAGTATTATGTGCATTAGAAGAACTAGGAATACAGTATACTGTATACAACAACCAGACAACTTCATGTGTAAATAAAAAACAATGTAAAGATTAAACATTTCATAAGTGTACTTTTATACAAAGTAAACATAACAGATTTGCCAATATGCAAATAATACCCATTGATATACAGCAAAAATTTTCCGGCTACTTTCCCGGAATTGAGAATGAAATAAATAAGGGAAGAGACCAAAGAAAGCCAGCTGCCAGCTGAAATGTTTGTATGGATAATAGTGCACTCAGTCCACCTCCATATCAGAAATAGCTTCATGTAATATCTTTTTGAGTTCATTGATTCTCTGCCATGCCAATGTCACACAACCCTGAATGTGAGCAGTGATCAGAATAGCAACTGAAATTTGTATCCTTTACAAACATTAGCAATCATAAATTGTCATTTCGGCATTAAAAAGATCAATTTTTCTTTGTGTGTGTGTGTGTTGGGGGGGTTAATAGAGGAAAAATAGATAACTATATACTTCTGCAGAAGCTATCAATTTATCATCATATACTTGCTATGAACCATTGCTATGAACAGTGCACACTGGGAAATTATGAAATTGCCTCCAGGTAGAATTAAGCTAAAGACTGCAAACTAACCTGAATAGCTGATGTGTTGGCAACAGCAGGTCCCCCTGGCTTGTAAAGAGACAAGAGCTGATAAGATGAGTCCAACACCACAGTAACAACTGTTTCCATTAGAGATTCCTCCTCTGCTGTAGGGTCTGCTATGATATAGCTCTTGTGAAGTACACATGTCAAGGAAAATGGCACATTCTTCAATTTGAGCTTTCGCTTCTCTTCTTTATTAGCAGGTCCTTTCAATTCCTCGCTAGCATTCTTGTCTTTGTTTTTGGGGACAAGAACTACTCTTCCATCATCATTCAAAGAAACGATAGGGATTCTTACTGCAAGAAATGAAAGTTCTCTATAATGTTGCTCATCAAAGTTGGTTATTCTTAGCTTTTAAGTGATTGAACTGATGATGAATTTCTACTGGAACCACACAAGAACTTCGAGGGCATACTTGGGCAGACACCAGGGAAAGGGAATGTATCTTTTCCTTGACTGTAATTGGATGAACAGCAATGTCCATATAATTATAGCTTATACTACCTTCAATTACTTTTCCAATTGAACAAGCAACAAGGATGTTGATGGCATATGAACAAATAAAGATTTATATAGAGACAAACAACAGGATTGCACCATACCCGCTGAAAAACCAAAAAAAAAAAAAAAAAAAAAAAAAGGGCAAAGGAGTAGCAAACTTACAATGTGAAAATGCAGCAACTGCTGAAAGTAATGCAGCATCAAACAGGGCACCATCAGCATCCAAACAGTATATGTCCTGTACAAGTGGACAAAGATCAAGCAATATGATTTCCCCAACGCATGTTAAAGGCAATGCCATCATCAGCAATTATATATATTCAATAATGCATTTGATGGCACAAAATAGCACTAGTGAACTAAGCTTTACTTTAATTGCTTTATAGTTTCAGCCAAATGGAACTTACTCATTATTCAAGGATTAAATTTGCTCAGCTATAGGTTATAAAACTTTTCTCCAATGACAATATCCTCTCAAAGTTAAACTTAGCATAGTGCTTTACACACTATCACGTATGAATTTTTTCTCCTGCCCTTCCTTCTCCAGCCTCCTTTTCTCTGCAACATCTATATGGTTTATTGTCTCAATCTTGTGGTAACAGTGATTCTAACCATCTCCAAAGATAAGGGCATATTCTGTTGTTATAGAAGTGATATGCATGCACACCTTTGTCTGTATTTCAACTTGGAAGAACTCTAAAAGCTCGTCTAAAAGTTTTTGGGATTCATGTCAGGATCATGAATGATATATGAAGCAAAATAGTTATATGCTTATTCTTCAGACTTTGAGACAAGCAGAATCGGAGATATTAAAAAAAAATAATAATAATAAAAAAAATAAAAATAAAAATAATAATAATAATAATAATAATAATAATAATCTCTGAATCCCTTACCAGATAGGCCATCCAAGCAGCTTTCCCGCTAAACAAACATAAGTCTTTCAAATCAATCATGCCAGAACTACAAAAATTTCAATAGGTAAGTCAAATTTGATAAGAGTGGAAAGGACACTATATTCTCTCAAATGGAAAAGTAGAATTCCAACAAGAAACAATAGAGGATGAGCAATTAAATGTACAAATGAAAATTTTGTATAGATAAATTTAGGCATGCATTTTCACATAACATATAACTAGCCATAAGTCATGCTAAAGCAATGACCAATAACTTACAACTCACTATATATTCTGTTTTTCACACTAATGTGTGCACCATTTGGGTATTTATATACTGCAGGCCATCTTCCCTCATAGAACAGGCTCCTTTTCAGGTCATAGGTAAAATTAGGTGAAGCTCATATACATCCTCTCTTAAATCATTCCTTTTATTGCATTAAAGATTCAAGGACCTTGTGTGTGTGTGTGTAAGCCAGATAGCTCAGCAATTTTTTTCCTGCTTTGTCCCCCAAATAATTAAATCCCCCCCCCCCCCCCCCCCCCCCCCCACCCCAAAAAAAAAAAAAACAAAAAAACAAAATTATAGGGGAGGAAACAAGGAGAAGGATACGTTGATTAGAAACGAAAACATGAAGAAGAAGGTTAATACAAACCAAAAATTATAAGTTTTTTAAAGTGTTATATCAACTGATAAAATAAGTTTCATTTACCAAGAAATTTTCCATCACGAAAGATTTGGCTATCTATGAGTGTGCATAAGGTATCTATGCAACATTTCAACTTCAATACACAATAAAATATTTAACCCTAACACATAACCATATGAAGACTAAAAGGCAAGTAAAAGTTATGAGCAAATTGATGGATTAATGTTGTAAATCACATGCCTAGTGATGGTTTCTAACAGTTGTTTTGAAATTACAGGAGCAGCATCTGCTGGCCTGCCTGGTCGGACCACGGGAGAACAAATTGGAGGCATATGGAATTCAACAGCTGCAATTAAAATGTCAAAACACTTAGAAGATGTATACCATCAGTATTTAATGACAATAAGAACCCAAATATGGCCAACCTATGGATCCCTCATCTGGTGATTCAGCTGTAGGTGTCATGATTTCCATTTTAATTGCAGCCAACATTGTCTTGTGTATAATAACAGAACAAAAAGGAAAAATGAGTATGAACTATGAAGAGACACTATTGCTGAAAGAAAATTATGAAGAATTTAACCCAAAAAAGAAGTGAGATTTGCACTTACAGTGGATCCAATCTTCACAAGTGCTGATCCATCTGCCGATGCAACACTGCCTACAGAAAAAGGAGAGTTGGAGTTTGGATATAAATCTAAAAGAAAAGCCAATGGTTCACATTTGATCCCCAATCAAAATAGAAATTAACCAACCAAGTACAACTGTTGTGTATCTAGCTTCTCTGATTTCACGGGCATCGGGTCGTATTGATTTGGCATGATGGCTATCATGAAATTGCATAGGAAAAAGGTGTCTAAATGCATCCAGCTCCATTTTTGAAGAATAATCACCAGAGCCATTGGCAACAGCCATTCTTTTGAACCTTGGTTGCCAGGTGAGAAGCCCCTAACCCTTAAACACAAGCAAATAAGAGAATCAAAATGGAGAATGAAAATAAGAGAATCAAAATCGGGAGAAAGCAGACAATCAATCCCAGTTCAATAAGCAGAACGAAAATACTCCTTTTGAAGCACACTGCATTCCACATTTGGAACAAGTTTTAACGCTACAAGATTCGTTATGCTTATTTTCCATAAGAGAAAATACTTATTGCAATAACGGTAAACTCATTTCAGTGCAATGTATATAATTACGAAGACATGAACCAATACACAGACATCAAACACATGACATCAATGTGCCAATTACAACAGAAAATTACTTCAAAAGAACATTCGTTAAAGCAGACAGAAACGGCAAAGAATATTTTTTCACCTAAGAAATGAACCTGTTTAGCGGAAATTACCAATCTGTTTTCTGACTGATGAGAAGGAACGGCCGCGGAGCGCAGTGGCGGACGGTGGAGCTATGGTTCAATTCTCGGCGAGAGAGAGTGACACCGGGGCGCGGAAAAGACACACATTTAATATTTTATTTTGAAAAAAATTTGTATTTTTGGTCATACGGTTATATCTGGGTTACAATTGTAGTTATACGTATAAATATTTTTAACCCCATGTATGTATAAAGTCATAAAGAGGCCATTTTAGTACTTAGACTAGTCATAAAGTGACAAATTGGTGATAGAAATAATTTTGAAGTATTAAAATTGCCATTTCGGATATAATTTATAGAGTAAAAATACTCCCGTATATAAATTAGAGACTAAGTTTGTACCACAAGTATAACTGAATAACCAAAAGATAAATTTTCTATTTTATTTTTTAATGACAAATTATATCATGGACTATGGTCCACATTCTAACATGGATCACGGATAAATATTCATTAGTAATATACTGAAATTTTATTTTAATGTACTGAAAGTTATTTTATGGTAGTATACTTACGATCACAAAGTTGTGTAAACTATGTATATGATACATTATTTTTATGCATAAAGTACATTATTTTTCTATGGATATGCTAGATTATTTTTATGCATATAGTACATTATTTGTATACGCAATATTTATTATTTGAATATTTATAAAATAGTATGAAAATAATTTTAAAGTTTATTATTTGTGTGCGTGAGGTTCATTATTTAAGCAAGTACAAATTAATTGAAGGTTGATTTATTTAAGTATGTATGTATATTTTATGCACATTTATATTGTATATATATGAAGTTTATTATTTGTAGAATATAGCTATACTCACCCACCCTCTTTACTTTAGAAATTGAATATTCAGTAAATCGATATTTATTATTTGTATGCATACAATATACATAGAACGCACATTTATGTGGGATAGTTATGCCATGGAACCGTGTTCACCATTCATGGTGAACACGATCCCAACGGTAACAGTGCATTGTTATCTTTCTTTCTTTCTTTCTTTTTTTCCTTAATTAACCGCGCGACTTTTCTTCTTCATTTTCACATTTTGCGGTTTCACTTCCTCTTCGCGCAAGCTTCTTCAACATAATCTCATAAAAAGAAAATTCATAATTTCATAACTGCACATTCATAAATCCATGCCTGCACATTCATAATTGCATGGATTTATGAATTTGCAGTTATGAAATTATGAATTTTCTATTATAAGAGTATGAATTTTCTGTTATGAGATTATGAATTTTCTGTTATGAGATTATGAATTTTCTGTTATGAGATTATGAATTTACAGTAAATTCATAATGTAAATTCATAATCTCATAACAGAAAATTCATTATTTAATAAATGTTTTTCTTTCATGCGATTATGAATTTTCTATTATGAAATTATGAATTTACAGTACATTCATAATCTCATAACAGAAAATTCATAATCTGGCCAAACGCGCGCCGTTAACACCACATTAGCGAATTACTCCCTCTGTCCCATTTTGCCTGTCCTGTTTACTATTCATTGGTCAATCCAACTCTTTTTTCATTGCATATTTTCTTTAGCAATTTTTAATTATTTTTAAATTTGATTTTTTATGTTTAATAGTACTTTTAATGTAGTTTCTAAATATATAAATTTTATATACTAAAAATAAACTTAATATTATGAAAAATTGAAGTAAAAATAGTTTCAGTCAAGCCTCGTTAATCGAACCAGACAAACAAAATGGGACAGAGGGAGTATTTTTTTTTCTGTAAAAACAGCACCGTTTGGATCCGTGTTCACAAGTCATGGTGAACACGTTTCCAGGGCATAATTTGCCATTTATGTGAATGTGCTTTGATACATAGCCAATAGCCAAAATTTGCAATAGTTATATTGTGCAACTGAATGCACCATGCATGGTGCATACGATGCAAAACGACGTCGTTTTGACTAAAAACGCGTGTCTCAGTTAAAAAAAATCAGGTTCGATTCTTGGCAATAGCATTATTGTGGATATATAGTTATGAATTTCTGGATATATAGTTATGAATTTATGGATATTTAGTTCATTCATTGTGGATATTTAGTTCATTCATTGTAGATATTTACTTTATTCATTCACTGTAGATATATAATTATGAATTATGGATATATAGTTATGAATTTCTGGATATATAATTATGAATTTATGGATATTTAGTTCAATCATTGTGGATATTTAGTTCAATCATTGTGGATATTTAGTTCATTCATTGTGGAAATTTAGTTCATTTATTCACTGTGAATATATAGTTATGAATTTATAGACATATAGTTATGAATTTATGGATATATAATTATGAATTTATGGATATATAAAAATGTTATTGCCGAGAATCGAACCTGATTTTTTTTTTAAGTGGGACGCGTGTTTTTTTAACCAAAACGACGTTGTTTTTGCATCCGTATGCACCATGCATGGTGCATACGGATGCACAACATAATTTGCGCAAAATTTGTCATGGACTATGGTCTATGAATCGTTATATCCTACACCACGGCGCACATAGCACTGTGCGCCGCGCGCCTTCCAAAACGACGTCGTTTTGGGTAGTGTTGGGAGGCGCGGTAGGAAGTTGCTGAGATTATGTGTATTTGTTCACAACGTTATGTGTATTGGTTCATACATTTATGTGTATTTTTTATACAATTATGTACATTCTTTTTATACAATTATGTACATCCGAATCAGAAAATTTGTGTGTATTATGTTAAGAGTTGATGTGTATTATGTTAAAAGTTTATGTTTATTATGTATTATGTTAGATTATGTGTATTATCTTTTAAAAAGAGTATGTATATTTTGTTATATAATTATGTACATTCATGTATAACATTATGTGTATTCTAGTATAACATTATGTACATTCTTGAACAGCGGGTTTTTTTTTTTTAAGAAAAAACTACTGCCATTCACTGGGGCGGAAAATTTCAAATAAAAAATAATTAAAACGACGTCGTTTTGCATCTGGGCGCATAGTGCAACGCGCGCCGTGGTGTAGGATATAAATTGCCATGGTCTATGGCAAATTATGCCCTGGACCCGTGTCCACAATGAATTGTGGACACGGGCCCAAAACGACATCGTTTTAAAAAAAAAACGCGTCATTTAGTTAAAAAAAAAAAATTCGCGCGCGTTTTGCCGTTAACGGCGTTATTTATTTTTTTTTTTTTTTTGATTATGAATGTACAGTTATGCCGTTATGAATGTACAGTTATGCCGTTATGAATGTACAGTTATGCAATTATGAAATTATGAACACAGAGCTCTAACATTATGAACTTACAATTATGAACATATATAATGATAAAATTATGACCATGTAGCTTTAAAATTGTGAATATATAGCTTCAAAGATTATGAATGTACAATTATAGAGTTATGAATCTACAGTTATGGAGTTATGAATCTACAGTTATGAGATTATGAATCTACAGTTATGGAATTATGAATGTACAGTTATTGATCGAATTATGAACAAAGAGCTCTAACATTATGAACTTAATATTATGAACATATAGTGATAAAATTATGAACATAGAGCTCTAAAATTGTGAACATAGAGCTTCGAAAATTATGAATATACAATTATGGAGTTATGAATGTACAGTTATGACGTTATGAATGTACAGTTATAGAGTTATGAATGTACAGTTATAGAGTTATGAATGTATAGTTATTAACATATAGTAATAAAATTATGAACATATACTTCTATAACAAAGTGATCTGAAATTTTAAAAAAAAAAAAAAAAGAAGAGATAACAGTGCCTAACGGCACTGTTACCCGTGTCCAGCAAGCATGCTGGACACGGGTCCAAGGCATAACGATTGATGGTCTATGGTATAATATATGTTTTTAAATTTTGACGGCTTTTTTTTAAAAAAAAAATCTATGGGCCTGAAAAATATTGGGCTAATTGAATCAGAAAAACATAAACGTCCTGAAACTTGAGGTCCAAATCAGAATAACTACCCTGCACTCGCGACTCGCGATCTCAGTGAAACAAAATGGCGTGCAACGCAGCAACCTGCGACTCCGGTTGCTACAGAGACGCCTCCGGCGAAGTCGGGGAAAAGGAGCAGCAGAAGCGGCCGGTGACCGGGAATAACGGAGATACACCGGGTGCGAACAGCTCCGAGTCCTCTGGCAACCGCATCTGCGTAAAATGTAAACTTAATGAAACCATCACTGCCAGCGGCGGCGGCGGCGGTGTAAGAGGAGATGGCGAAAGGTTCTGTGCTGATTGTTTCAGAAGTAATCTGTATGGGAAGTTCAGGTTTTCAGTTAGCTCCAATGCTATGATCTCGCCTTCGGATAACGTCCTTGTAGCCTTTTCCGGCGGCCCCTCCTCCAGGTCTCTCTCTCTCTCTCTCTCTCTCTCTCTCTATCCAGCTATACATTTGTATAGCTCTTTGTATGCGTGTAATATATGTGCGTTTATGCTTGATCATATGTTTTCAATCCTATATTGTTGGGTTTAAGAAGGGTTTTAAGTCCCCTTTGGCGGTAAATGTAATATGATAGGTAAGACTGTAAGATATAAAGTTTTATGAATCTTATTTTTCAGTTTAAGTCTGGTTTCTAGCTTTTATATATTACTGACAATGATAAAAATATTACCTTTGGGCGGGTTAGGGCCTTAGCTTTGTCTACGTTTTTGTAAAAACATTATCTTTGATTATTTTGTTTCTCTGTGTGACAATAAATGGTGGTGGGATGTACAGAGTAAATGGCTTCTGCTCTTTCTCATTCAAAACAATAAAATAAGCCATAGTGCCCAAGAAGAAACTAGTGTAGTCTCTTGGTAAGGAAGATATAATGATTAAATGTTTTGTGAAGTTATGTGATACTCTTGTACTGAAACAATAATACCTTTTTAAGTTAGATTCAAGAAGAAATACCTTTGTGTGTGTGTGTGTGTGGCTGAAGATGATTTAGTGGTTCTCTGATCCAACTTATTTTTGGGGTTGTCTATAAAAAATGCTTTTAGGGGTAGATAAGAGGAAAAAGACCTATTTCTCAAGAAGCTCAAGGTTGTGACCTTTAAAAAGTTATCATTTGCAATAAGCAATAAGCTCCCGGTGTACCTTTGATATATGAATATTGGAAGAGACTGTGACTTTCCGTATAGCTATCGATTGGCTATCAAAAGTCTTTCAATTGCATGTGGATAATCTCAATCACAAGTGTGCAATCAATTTATGAACTGTACAGAGTGTACTAGAATTACAGATCTTTATCACAGGATATAATGCGATTTTCTTTCCAGGGTGGCTCTTCATTTTGTTAGTGAGATGCAAGACAAAGCTCAGAAGAATTTTGAAGCCAGCAGGGACCGAGCATTACCTGTTTTTGGTGTTGGGGTTGCATTTGTTGATGAACGATCAATTTCCCCAGTTCCTTGTCATGAATTTGATAAAGCAATTGAAGAGATGAAACTGATTGTTTCAAATTTGGCTCCACCACTGAAACAATTCCATGTTGTCCCTACTGAGTCTGTCTACTCATTAGAACCTGCTAATGGAAGAGAGCAGCTGAAAAAGTTAATTGACGCTGTTAGTGATACAACAGGAAGAGAAGATCTTCTGGAGCATTTTCGTATGTTAGCCTTGCAAAAGGTTTGGCCATAAAAATAGTTTACATATTTTGAACATTGGATTGCATAGAGATCTCATCTAAATAATGCTGATTTTTATGTGCAGACTGCTCTTGAAAATGGATACACCAAAATTGTCTTAGGCACGTGTACATCAAGGATTGCTTGTCATGTACTTGAAGCAACTGTCAAGGTTTGTTTCCCAGTCCTTACCCTTTAATTCTGCTAATGGAAGCGGAAACCTAGTAAATTGAGATGCAGTATCTAATAGAACTCTGTTCTTCTAGCAACATTATCTCCCTAGTTTTAATGTGCATTGTTATTCAAAATGAGCAACCACAATATATGCATGCGTGTGTGAAATTCATTTAAACAGAGTTCAGAGTTACCATGGACAAGGGGATCTGAACTTCAAAAGTGATCTTTGTAAATGATAACTGACAGCCTGATGACAAGGCAATGCATGAAAGATGATTTTTTCTATCTTCCCCCTAGAGTTTATGGAGTGAAATATGATTTTTCTGGAAAATTAATCCTGTGTATTTTGAATTATAAATATAGAATGCAAAAGTGCCATGTAGAAATTGGACCATTTGAAAATCTTTAGCAGAGGGGAATTTTTTTTATTCTTGATGGCTTGATGTAATGAAGTGCTGAAAACCTAAGAACTAAACTGTAGTGATTTGCAAAAAGGAGTTGATGTGATCAATTAGCCTCCTTAATTGTTCATTTTACTGATATGACAAAAAAAGAAATTATTTTTTGATTTTGTGAACTATTGTTTTCTAACTCATTGCCGAAGAACTGCTTATATATTAGCTGGGCATATATTCTCTTCTAGTCTGAAGTTTTTGACAAAATATCTAGTCTCAACTTCATACATCCATGACATAACGATGAAAAAGTTGTCAAAACAACATAGATTAATATTGGTGTAGTCGAGATATTTTGCAATGTCTAATAACTACAGACAAGTCTTTGCTATGGTGTTGTAATTTCAAAGGAAGTTGCCTAGTATGCAAAAAAAAAAAAAAAAAAAAAAAAAAAAAAACTGTTCATCTTTGTCACATTGCTATATTCTTCTACCAGGGCCAAGGTTACTCCTTAGCTGCAGATATCCAATACGTTGATGCAAGATGGGAAATTCCAGTATTGCTCCCCCTTCGTGATTGTTTTGCTCATGAGATGAGTTTGCTGTGCTGCCTTGACAGGTTTGTTTCATATAATGCTATCTCATTTTAACTAATGCCCTTTATGAGGAAATTCTATTTTATTCAAGTTTGTCTCGTATACGAACAGAATTTATATCTTTCACTATTCTGTGCATTTAAATTACTACTCCATGATGGAACTAATATCCCTTTGGCAGGGCAGTTTAAAGACAGTAGAATTGTTTAATGGTCTACGTTCTGGCATCAATGGTCTGGTCTCCTCATTTGTGAAATTATTGCAGGTAAAAAGCAACTGATTAATCAAATTTAATTTTTTAATTAAAAAAAAAAAATTCTTGGCCTTGTTTAAGATAACTAGCAAGATGAGTGGTGTGATCAAAAAATCATTTGGGAACCATTAAGAATGTGGTTCCCCTAATCTAGAACAAGATATTTTCTGTTGTGTGTATATAGACAGGTAGTATGCAATTAGTTGACAATTATTATTTAAATGTTTGTAAATAAAGGGCATTTATTTGTTTGAAATGGTATTTCATACTTCCATATAGCTTTATTGCTTGATTTTAGCTTGAACCTTGCATTAGATTTAGGATAATACTTGCCAAATCAAGGTCATTAAAAAGCAAGATCATAATTTGCATTAATCCATTGGAAGGAGATTCAATCTGCATAAAGGAGTGGCCAGCTTAGACTTAGTATGGCTTTTGAACAATCTCACTGATGAGATAATACATTAGGTTAAAGTTGATTTCTAAATCTGTAAATATTGTATTTCAGGAGGAGAATCCATCCAGAGAGAGCACAATTGTAAGAACAGCAGGAAAGCTTACCCCTTTCCATTTCAATAGAATTCCAGAAGATAACGAATATAATGGTCACACAGCATCTCAGAGGAGGCAGAAGAAATACAATATCAAAACTGATAACTTGATTCCTCAAGAGTCATTTTGTCCCATATGCAATAGTCCAGTCAAGATCTCTGACCTTACAAATTTAACCCGTTCTGAGGATGTTCAAACAAGTATAGATCTTACAGGGTCATGCTGCTCAAGTTGCCAGTTTCAAATTTTGCCCGGGGAGCTCTCAGCTATAGACTATTTTCATTCACTCCTACCAGACCCAATAATTGCCCGAGCAAAAGATGCAAGATTTATCCATCAGAGCAGGCTAAGGTAAGAAATGTCCTCTGCTCTTAGCACATCATATCATGTTTTGACACCCTTTCAGTAACGCATTTTTTCTTGGTTTTGTTTATCAGGGAGCAAATAGAGGACTGCTTGCTCTCAGACACTGAAGATGGAACCTAAGCTTATGTTTGTAATTCATTGTTTATAAAGAAAGAAAATTGGCATAAACCCAAAGATTATCAGCTCCTGTGGGAAGTTAGTCTTTTGTAATTCATACTTGTATTTTTCATTGTTTATAAAGAAAGAAAATTGGCATAAACCCAAAGATTATCAGCTCCTGTGGGAAGTTAGTCTTTTGTAATTCATACTTGTATTTGGGATGTTTTTCCTGACAATTATATTTACCAGTGTATTACAAGGTTAGTCCAGTGTTGGTGTTAGTACAAACTTGCCAAATTCATTCCACTGTATAATGAAATTAAATTTTTTTTAAAAGTCAGAGGATCATGAAGCATGATGAATATGAAACAAGATTTTGATGAATTTATAGCTAATTGCTATTAATTCTTGAAATTAATCAGAGCATATAATTGGCTCTTTCACACCCTATCTTTGATTCCTGGATTTGATGCAGTCTACTAACATTTGTCAAGTAAATATTGATTGAAAAAAAAATCCCCATAGCCTTCATGGGATGTATTAAACACATTATATCTATAAATTTCACAGAACAGAAGAAGAATATGTCCAAAAGTTTACCAGGAAAAATAAAACTTCACCAATCGTTGCAAAGCCAGCACACACCATTGTTATCAATCATCAACCAGAGAAAGAAATTCCTCCAGTAGGCTTTCGCCCACTACAATGCCAAACTTTTGCGCGAGAGCTGCCTTCACCATATCAGCGGTTAGGTTTTCAGCAGCATCTTCAGAAGAGATTTCAATATACTCATTTAGATTGTTCGAGATTCCATCTGTACAGGCAAATATAGACAATTGAGATATCGACACAATAACATGAGAATAACTTCATGTACGAGTTCTATGCAAAAGATCAGAAAATCTGGGAGTCATCAATTAAATACTAGAGCTTGTAAAATCGTAACTGAGGTAGGAAAGTATAGCAGTTCAATTAAAAAGGTCTTGGAGGGAAGAACCTATCTACAATAGTATGTCCTCCCTCAAACGAACTAAATTTTATTAAGAGCATCATGAAAAACAAGCTAGCTCTACATGTTTGAAACAATGACAAGATAAAAGCAGAGAAGCATAAATAAGCATGTTTTCCTTAAATTTTGAGGTAACTGTGATGGATCTCAGCCGTACATTATGCTTACTTCCCAGGGGGGACCCATCCTGGTTGCCATATCCTACTTAAAACCACTTGGTGATAAGTAGGTGAACATTAACCATTTAACCACATCCCTCCATGGTAAGTCACAATGCCACGTCTCGAATCGAGTAGGGGCTGAACTCGGTCAACCTGGCCGACGCCCAACAAATTGATAGAGTTGGTTGTTGAAGAGATAACTTTCTTCCAATAAATTTATAAAAATAATAAAATAAGAAAAAAAATTGCAGAACCACACACTAATTAAAAGATGGATTTTAAAAAATTAAAAGAGTTTTATATCTTATAGGCACTGTGGAAATAAGGTTACCACTTTGTATGGATGTCCTCTTCCAAAGAGCATTAGAGAGTTAGTTTCAACAAAATGATAACATTTCAAGGGGAAGTTTTAGACTTTCAGCAAAGTGGAAGCATAGACTTTTGGTGTATTTGCAGCATGAAATGATAAATAATGGTTTGTTTCTTGCATTTACCTTCAGCTACAATGGCTTCATAAGGAGGAGGTTGAGCCATCCAGTTTCCCGCAGTATCTTTCATGTGACTTCTATCAGATGCAAATGACGGGAGGAAAATTGGTCCATGCACAACTCGGCAAGATCTGAAATGAAGAAAACCAGATATTTATTAAGATATCATGTAAGGAGCATCAACTGTTCAACCTTAGAAATTGCGCATTATATATAATCTATTAGGGTAGAGTGTTGTTACCTTTTAAACTCTGAAAATAGCGGAAAAGAAGGACGAATGGTTTCAGCAATATAGGAAGATAGAGGAGAAGGAAATGGAAGACTTGAATCTAAATCCCACACTAGGTGTGAGGAGTTTCCATCTTTCTTTTTCTGGAAAAAGACAAAAACGCACAATGGTGAAATCATTGCTTCAATTAACGAACGAAATATGTTGGCTTTTCAATCCTTCTGAACAGATGATATGAGGACATGGAAAGACAAGTTCTCACCTGTATGCATATGACATGATAATCCCAAAGAACAACCCCATCTGCCCTATGGCTGGCCTTTTGATTCCATAGAGGAACCTGAAAGAATGTCATGGCAATGAGCAAAGTTGCATCCTCAGACAGGTCTAATCATTTAATTCGTTTACACAAGAGGAATAATTGACAAGCACATTGATGGATCTCTCGTGACTGTTGGAAGTCAAGCACGCTTAACCACAGAGCTCTTAGGCTATCTGGTTGACATATCCTACTTAAAACCAATTGGGTAATGGGGTTTGGGAATTAGGAGTCCGTCTCTCAATCTATTTTATATGAAAAACATTATACAGGTGCTCAGAATTAAGCATTCAAGTGAGCGAAACTTATATAGCTTAGTATCCTAATTCATGGAAATGAAGCTTAGAAGTTTTCATGACTTGCAAAGAACATTGCATTGCCTCAATGGTGAAAAGGGCTAATTTTGTTTAATTCACCATAATTGCAAACTCACCTAAGAAAAAGGTCAAGCATGGCAATTAAGAAACCACTCATGTCAATTTGGTCCAGGAGACTCGAACAGGAGCAATTTGCTAAGTCACACACCTAAAACGATTTTATACAATTCTACACACAATTAGGAAATGACAGACCAATATACTACCAAAACAAATTGATAGATTATTAGTGTCCATGGAATCATGAGAATATGGAATTTATAATCCATACCAGTTCCTAATGACTCACAAATAATCTTTCTTTTTTCCAGGTAGTAAGTCATTTCACTTAAACAATAATAACTCTAGACAATGAATCATCTAATAATCCTTACAGAAATCATCAAGAAATGGAAAATTAAGAAGAAGGAAACTGGGCATGCCTGCTTCTTCTCATTGGAGATGAAAACAGCAAACAGATCAGAAGCATCTGGATTTGCCACCCCATCAGCACACAGCTTCTTGCACAGCAGGTATACATTTTCCTCACTACAATCACAAGTGAAATAAACACAAAGGGCATCAAAAGTTTCAGCTTTGAGTAAGCAATCAAGGCCAGGCCAGGCCAGAACAACATCAAATATCAATTTTGTGAATGACACCAAATTCAGAACAAGAAATAACCTAAACAATCAAGGGTTAGAAGAATAAATTAGAGATATATGAAAAAAGAAGATTTGGAATCAGTGTCGTAAACAAAAAAAGATAAAAGAAAACGCACATTTTTCACCCAAGGCAAGGAGTATTCTCGTACCAGTAAAAAGGGGTGTGTTGAAAGGTAGACGGCTCCAAGTTGGTTGATGTTGTCATCTTTCCGATTTTCCCCTTTTGGCCGGCGGGTGTCGGAGGTTGAAAACGTTGGATTTGTCTGCAACTCTGCCACCCGAAAAGGTTTAAGGATCAATGTCTCAGAGTCTGATATGATTTTTCACTTTTTCCCACTTTTTTTTTTTTTTTTTTTTTTTTTTTTTTTTTTTTTTTTTTTAGTATTCTTGATACTAATATTTGTGCATTTTTCTTTATATTTGGTATACCTATTAGTTTTGAGATCTCCTTTTTTATGAATACTTTTAATAAAAGATATACTTTAGTTCTCAATGAGAGTGGTATTGACTCTTTCTATTTCAGTATTTTTTTTTTGAATGCTGGTGGCTCAATTACATAGCAGCTACTAAAACACAAAGAACCAATAATGCCTCTACTAAGGCTCGAACCAATAATGCCTCCACTAAGGCTCGAACTCATAACCTTCTAAATAGAAGTCCAACCTGAGTACTATTAGACTACATAGTCTTGGTCTAAAAAAAAAAAAAAAGATATATAGTTTTGTCTAATTTTTAATTTAAAATTATTATATTTAAATAAATGTATGGTATCTCTATGTCAATGACAATAATACCAAGAAAGAGAAATTTTCAAAATGGTCATTCAATTATATCCCAGTTTTGACCTTCTTGTACGTTCATGCTCTCAATCGTTATGCTATGGACCCGTGTCCAGCATGCATGCTGGACACAGTAACGGTGCCATTAGTGGCACCGTTCTCTTCCACTTTTTTTTTTTTTTTCATAATAATTTCAGACCACTTTGTTATAAGAGTATATGTTCATAATTTTATCACTATATGTTCATAATTGTAAGTTCATAATGTCAGGGCTCTGTGTTCATAATTGCATAAGTGTATATTCATAATTGCATAACTGTACATTCATAATTCCATAATTGTACATTCATAATTCAACAACTGTAAATTCATAATTTTCGAAACTCTATGTTCACAATTTTAGAGCTCTATGTTCATAATTTTATCACTATATGTTCATAATTGTAAGTTCATAATGTCAGAGCTTTGTGTTCATAATTCCATAACTTACATTCGTAATTCCATAACTGTACATTTATAATTGCATAACTGTACATTCATGATTCCATAACTGTACATTCATAATGCCATAAACAAATAACGTCGTTGATGGCAAGACAAAATCAATTTTTTTTTTAACTGGAAGGCCGCGTTTTCCCTTAAAACGACGTCGTTTTGAACTCGTGTCCACAATGCATTGTGGACACGAGTCCACAACATAATTTGTGTCATGCTCTTGTTTTGTAGTCGGGTTAGGATCAAACGATTTGAATCAAAGTCAAACCCGTCAATGTTTAGGCCTATATAAAGGGCCTTAGGCCTTCCTTATAAGGATCTTCTCCTTCTCCACTGGACTCTCTCTATACATTTAATAAAAGAAGCCATTTGGATAGGGGTCTTTCATCCTTTCTTGATCTTCATACAATTTCTACGCATATTATACATTGTTTATATACACTTTGCATATGCGAGTTGAATAAACGATATCAACCCTTTTTCAAATTGGTCATATGCCTTTTAAGTGAACCCAAACTGATCCTTCATTCAACTATTAGATTTTAAGTC